TCGACGGCACTTAGTTGAGCTCATTGTTCGATTATCTACGGAATCGTCCATTTAAAGTCATCACATGCAACGAAAACCGACCGTCTTGTAGCAAAATCATTGACATCCGACTAAAACTATGAATTCTATGAGATCCTATGACTGAAACCATAATTCTAGTCGAAATCCTAGTTGAGCGCACAGTAAACTTGTTGAAATTCCCAGGTAAGTTGCTGTTTTTCATGAAACTTGATTGGAGTGAAATGTGTTAATTGAGTGATGATTTCAGTGAATCGTACAAATTCATTCGGATGGCGGATGATTTGCACGATGTGGCTCGCTACCTCAACGATATGCGACTGTGTTTTATTGCGCTAACAGTAACCGGGTACTTATTGATGATCATTTATGGTATTATCTTTTGTGTTCGAAGGAATCGACGACGACCCAATACTGCCCAAACTGGCGCCGGTCTCAGCAACAATGGCCAGGTCAGGAGGGGTCGATGGGATTATCAAGTTTGTTCAATTCATTTATTCATTCATATCAGCCAGTATCATTTTGCGAAACTTGTTATGTGTGGCCATTATTCTATCGGTAGCAATCCTCACTGTAACGCAAATCAGTCATGAACCGCTTGTTTGTTTCTTCATTTATCACAGTATTGCAAATTATCACGTCGTCTGTTAGTGTCATTCGTAGTCATGCAGTTATGTTTGAGGCTCGATATGTTATGTGAGCTTATATAACTGTGAGCCTATGTGAGCTGCTTATGTGAGGCTTCTTATATCGTAGTTTCTTTCATATTTTTCGGAGAATTATTGTCTTCTCCTTAAATATCACGATATTAGCCGTTGGGCATCTTATCAGTATCAACACATCAACTGTTATCACTTTAAATTCCTCCAAATTCGATAAATCTTATATTCTCTGATGTACTTCTCATTAGTCAAATGATAGGCTCTGCTGGTTCGATGTAAACTGATAACCTACAGTCCTATCATTGCTTTAAATTCATCCGCTCATTGTGCTGTCATATTGCAACGGACATTGTCTAACATTCATTAAGACCACGTCACAGTTGACCTACCGCAATTTGATAGGATAGCTTACACTGTAATTTAATCCATTTCAAAAATTCTTAATCCACTGTTGAATCATTAAGAGCAGTTCCAATGTAGTATTTAGTTGTCCTTAGCAGTTGTTCGAATGATTGATCATAGAATGAAGCAAAACATCGCTAAAAATTATCCGTTCAGTGCCGAGAAATCATAAATTTCAAAGCTGTTCTGAAGCTGTTCGCAAATGTTAAAAGCAATTGATAAATGCTCAATTGTTTCGACGTAATGCACTCTCATTCGAGATATTAACGGTCGGTCATTTAGGTGCTAGTTTATGTTAAAAAGCAAGATGTTTATGTAAAATTTTAGGAATGAAAAACTGCAATTTCACTGCAAAAGTGCGCTGTAAGCCAGCACTACCTCCTGCATTGTTACATTATTGCGAAAGAAATGCCACCAGCAAACTGACTGAATTTTCGTGATTTTCAAAATGTATCGTCAATTGATTTTCACTTCAGATGGAAAATCGAGATTATCAAACGCACGCACAAACAGACGATCTCGTATCGGTGAGGAGTGATGGCCAAGGCAACACGGCCAGTTATATGGGTCAGTATTCACATTCCTGAAATCAATCCATCGAACAATTTATGGACAAACTTATTTATTCAGCGAACTAGTCTTGAGCACTCTTCAGCCCTATCGTTTTATGATAATATGAATTCTTACATCAGTTACTCAAATGATCAAACAAATGCTATCAAAAGTTTTTCTCTCGTAGTTATAACAAGCCAACGAGCGATGCTATTCTTGAAATCAACAATAGCAAGTGTTTTTGAATTCCTCAACTAAATTCATTTGGCTTCGAATATTCGTTAGTTAAAATTATTCGAATTCAGGACGTAATCATCACAGGAATCCACCGTCGTTTATGCGGCATGGAATGAATCACGCTCAACAAACAGCAAGGTATCATCATTATCATTCTCCTTCTTTTTCTTTATTACCGATAATTGTATGGTACCGCAGAAGACGTTCCACATCCAAGATTAAGTTCAACACGTATGAGAATGTTTCTGATTCTTAAGAAAAAGTTTCGAGATAATTATGATACTTAATTTGATTGTATGCTTTATGATAAGTGGGCGATCAAAATGAGAGAACGTATTCATTCAATTGATTACTTTTTAAATATGATTTTGTCCGTCCTTCTAAAACGATCGATGACAAAGAACCAATGATTTTGTTTCCATTGAATTCTAGCTTCAGTTTCAGGGTGTATTCGAATGAGTGCCCATTGTCTTAATAATATACATGTTATACGAGTGAGCATCGATTGAAGTAGCATTGATAATTTTAATGCTGAATATCATGGTGATA